TTAATTGTTTATATATATATATATATATATATATATATATATATACAGTATATCAAACTATCAAATGGACAGTTCACCCAAAAATTACAATTCTGTCATTTACTCACTTTTTTGGCACATTCAGTGAGGTCCAAATACATTTTTCAATATATCCTCTTTTGTTTACAATAGCAAAAAAAATAAATAAATAAAAATAACAAGAGTCAAACAGGTTTGGAACCACATGACGTTGAGTAAATGATGGTAGAATTTTCATTATTCAGATTCATGAGGTTTTTAAAATGGTACATTATATATATATATATATATATAGGTCAGTGGCCCTTGGCTTGGTGTTGTTGGCAGAATTTGGCCCTCCGCGAAAACTAATTGAGGAACCCTGGTCTATAGTAACATTAAATGTTGTACAGATCAATTTCTAACCTTTCCTCTCTGGGACCAAAGCGGAGGGTCTAACTGGCCGTGAGGCAGCAGACCATTTTCCAGACAGGAGAGGAACTGTAGGAGGTGACCACCACGGGGAAAACGAAGCGGAGGCCTTTGAATCCCATCCTGACTAACTAGAACCACTGTTCCCCCACAGTCCACTGCAGACAAAAATACATACACAATGGAATTAATATTAAATAATGTGATATGTTCATTGACATTTAAATGACACAGTCTCTTGCTATCACCTATTACTAGGTTAAATACATGTTTTGCACATAGTGAAATCCTCTTTACCATGCAAAACAATTCCTCTCTTAACAGTATCTAATATCTGAATCATCCTGATGTACTTAATATTGAAGCCATGACACAGCCTGTACAATAAGGAATTATTCATTGCCATTATTAGCAGAATTACATTGCTTCATAATCTGAGTAAAGCCTCACTTTAAATTCTCATCTCTTTCCAGAAGCAATTATGTTCTGATTAATTCTGCTCTCTCTCATCGGTCCACTGATCTTGTGCTTGGATGAATATGAAAAGGGCAAGTACAACTGAGGATATTGGCTGAATATTTGAGTACACCCAAGTGGAGACTATTAATGTTAGATATGCTTTTAACCTTCAGCAACTTTGTAGGGTCTATGAATGTTGTAGAATTATGTACTATTACATTACGGTCATATTATATGTGTATGAATTATTTAAACTGATCTGTAAGAATTATGGACAAATAAGAAACTGCAGGATGTGTCTCATTTGGCTGCCAGTTGGATGTTTTTCAACCTGGCACAATGTCACCTACCCTGCTGATGACAGTGCAGGTACACAATCTCCTCCAGGCGGATTGTCATGGCGTAGTCCCAGTAAACACTGCAGGAAAACAGGTTAGTGTTAGTTATTTAATAATATAAATACTTACATTTCAGTGTTTCAAAATTATTTTCATTTAACATTATTCAAAGAAAAAAATCATGCACTGTTTCAGTTTCTTCATGAAGTTAGGAATACTTTTCCTTATTTTCTGGGATGAAAACTCATTAGGGGTAAAAAGGAGGATATAGGGAAAATGTCACTCTATATAGTTAAAAATATAAACATTGAACATTATACAATAAATACATTACTTCGCTTTCGAATGTTAAACCATAGAGCTTTTATTTTGGTGGACATCTGCAGGTTTTAAAGCTTCTCTTTTGTTGACAACAGATTTAGAAATGTTTCTCATTACTTAGGAAGATTTAGCATGGCGATTTTCACTGAAATGTGACAAGCTTGCATCCCTGTATTATGGTGGAACGAGCAAACCTGTAATACAGTGGGTACGGAAAGTATTCAGACCCCCTTCAATTTTTCA